TTTGTTTTTTTGAAATTTTTTTTTTTTTTTTTTTTTTTTTTTTTTTTTTTGAAATGTGATTTTGATTTCAGCATAATTTTATATATATTTATAGGAAGAATTATAAGTTGTGATTGGGCTATACCAAAATCCAAATATAGAGAGAAACTTGAGAAAGATCTTTCTGGGAATCAGGAAATTGATAAAGGTGAAGAACAATCTTCTCATGATGCTCAGAAAGAAGATAATGAAGATAATAACATACATAAGAAGAAATTTACAAAAGAGAAGGATAATTTGAAAAAGCAGAAAAAGAGAAAGTTTCAAAAAATGAAAAAACAGAAAAAACGTGCTAGGATTGTAATTCGAAATTTATCTTTCCAGGTATTTATTTTATATATAGATAATTAAAGAGGAACATGTTTAAAATATTGTTATATTTATTAGTATTTTTGAATAACAAACATTTTTCCTTAGATCACAGAAGACAATTTAAAAGAATTTTTTTCTCAATATGGTGAAATAGACGAAATAAAGATTTTAACCAAACCTGATGGTAAACAAATTGGAGTTGCATTTGTGCAATTTAATGTTGTACAAAGTGCTGCAAAAGCTATACATTATGCAAATATGCAATCTCTTTTGAACAGGCCTATGATAGTTGATTGGGCTGTTCCAAAGAATAAGTTTTCTGAAAATACTGACATAAAACCTGAAATCAAAACTGAATCTATTGACGAAAATGAACTACATGATACTTCAGAAATAAAAGTAATTGATTGTAGTGAGGATGAGGATAGTGAATCGGATGCTGAATCAGACAGGTATTTGAAAATTCAAATTGTGTGTGTAGCAATGGATTCCAATTTATATTTTCTCTCCCTCTCTCTCTTTTTCTTTCTCTCTTTCTTTCTTTCTGCATAATTAATATTTTTATAATTTTATAGCAAAGAAGTTTCAATGGAAAGTATACAAGAGGAGACCGAGTCTGAGAAAGAAGAGGCAGAAATTAAGCATGAAGATACTGATAACGAAGATGACAACGATAATGACAGTAATGATGATGATGATATCAATATTACTCTTGATCAATCTGTTGTTAAATCAGAGGAGAAAAATGAAAAGAAAGAAAATTGTTCTGATGCAAAACATCCACAAAGATCTAATGACGTTAGTGAAGGAAGAACGGTTTTTCTGAAAAATGTACCATTTGCTGTTAAGAATGATGAACTTAAAAGTTTTATGGAGCAATTTGGACCCATTTATTACGCTCTCGTATGCATTGATCCTTTGACCGAATATTCCAAAGGCACTGCATTTGTTAAATTTAGAGTAAGATTTGCTAATTTATCTTTATGTGCAAATGTTAAAAATTCTTTTAAAATTTGGTTCATTTTTTAACACAATTACATGAAGAACATTTTTGTTGTAGCACGTTGAAGACGCTGAGAAATGTTTGATGGCTGGAACTGAGTTACGTTTACGTGATCAAATAATCGAAACGCATAGAGCATTGCACCAGCAGGAAGTAGCAAATAAAACGGACTTGAAGAAACAAAGGATTAAAGATTCCAGAAATTTATATCTTGTTAAAGAAGGAGGTAAAATGATGGCATATTCTATTATGTTATATAAGAATATTATATTATATAAAGAAATGTTATAGCATATATGTGTTGTTGATTTCTAGTTGTGCTGGCCGGAAGTCCAGCCGCATTAGAAGTATCGATGTCTGATATGGAAAAACGTCTGAAATTAGAGCGGTGGAAATCGCAGATGTTGCGTAACTTGAACATGTTCATATCGAGAACGCGGCTCGCTGTTCACAATTTACCATCTAATCTTGATGATGCAGAACTTAGACAATTGTTTAAAAATCATAGTGGCCCTAAAGCTGTTATTAAGGAGGTAGTTAGATTAGAAATCATTTAGAGTGATATACGTATTTAATGATGTAAGAAATTATGTAGATAGTAATTTTAATGGGAATATCTTTAAGGCCCGAGTTATGCGTGATTTGAGAAATGTTGATGCAACTGGAAAAAACAAATCAAAAGAGTATGGTTTTGTTACATTTACCAGTCATGAGGATGCACTTAAAGCTTTAAGAAGTATAAATAATAATCCAAATATATTTTCCAAACATAGAGTAAGAAGTTATAAATTTATTTCAATTATTGTTATTTATGATTATTTCATGCATCTTTATAAAAATTTTTATAAATGGCATTATAGAGACCTATAATTGGATTCTCGATTGAAAATCGCATTTTGGTAAACGCGAAGGAAAGAAGAATTCAGAAAAGTCGCGACCGAAATCCATTGTGGTCTGAAAATAAAAATAAGAGGAAAAGCGAAGACGCCGAGAAAGAAATACGAGATACCAAACGAGTTAAAGCCAGAAGAGTAAATGAAAACGAATTGAATAAAAAATCATACACTGGAATTACTGGCAATTTAGGCGAGGATAAATTAAGATCAAATTTCACACTTAAGTCACAAGCTAAGTTACATATGTGGACTGTTAAAAAGCAGAAGAAATTAACTAAAACGATTAAACAATCGGAAACTGCGAAAAAGGCGAAAACAAAGAAAATGCAAGACAATATGCCGGTAAGATATATTGATTTAATATATATTTTATTCTATACATCGTACTTTGTGCACATACACACAACACGCATTAAAAAAAAATGTATTTTGGTTTTTTTTTAACTGTACATATTAAAATTTTTTTTTTTTTATGTAGAGTGTAATATTTTTTGTTTAATATACTTCCTGTGTCATCTTTTTTGCAGACGAAGCAAGTAAAAAAGTTTGACATAGATACAAACGATACAAACTTTAATATGCTTCTAAATAATTATAGAAACAAACTGAAAGGTATTGATCTTAAAAAATCGAAATGGTACGAATCCTCGAATGGATCTTAAAGTATATGAAAATGAAAAGAATCGTAATAATATGTATTTAAGTATGCATAATATTTACTATTCAGTATATGTAAGTATGTAATGAAATAAAAGAATGATTTAAGACAATTAAAAATTTTAAAAAATAAAATTTTTTTTTTTTTTTAACTAAGCTGTTACATTTTAATTTCTTTATGTCATATTGAATTACTTTATTCAAGGTAAAATAATTACGAAACGTATATGCATTCTATTCTTTATCTTTTTGATGTCATGTCTTTTGTGTCTCTATTCCTCTATTCCATAGTATCACTTCCCCTTCTCGAAATTTCATTCGTTCTCCCACTTGCGAGCGGTTTTCTTTCAAACATCCTCCAATAAAGTATACTTCAGCGCTAAGCAAAGCAACGTGACCTCAGTCAGATTGTGGTTTTTTTCGTGTGTACAATACATCCTGAAAGGTAAGGTCTTCAAAAATCGCTTCCATACAAATTAAATTTCGAACTGTATAAACTATCCATAACGGTTAATCATTCCAATGAAAAAAAAACATAATGTAATTATTTTTTATCAATCTTTTGATATCTTAGTTATATATTTAATAAGTTATATAATTTTTATATATTTAATAGATTTTATTTTTTAGTATCGCATATAGCTTATTTTCACATTTTTTCATAACTTAAACGAATTAAACTTGATGAAAAAGGTGTTTATTGACGTCCATCTCGCAACTCTTAATTCGATAAATCATTTTATTCATATATGTATTTTATATGTTTCAAATATAAAATGTCAAACGCGTTTAATAAATATCAGTAAATTGATTTGGATTCTGACTTAATTATGCAAATATACATATGTTAATTTAAATCAAATTACGTATAATTTACAATTTTTCTTCCATTTACACTTTTAGGAGCAAAATAATATTTATATTTTTATGCATACATGTAAAATCAAAAATCATTGCTTTTACTATATCTTAGTATTTATATGAAATAAATATGTATTTTTATCAATATGGAATTTTTATTACACGCGTGTATTTGTATTTATATATATATATATATTACATATATTTAATATATATATATGTATATATATTACATATATTTAATATATATATGTATATGAATTAAATTGTTTCTTATATAATATGCATAACATGTATTTTCGATTATTATATTCTAATCGTGCAAACGTCTCGTTGTTGCTCTTGTTCGTGTTGCATTTTTATTAATGTGCGGATGCAAATACGTGTTCGTGATACGCATCATTAAACGGCGCCTAAATTGTAATTGCGACGATCTATGGGAAAGTTGCGACAATTTACGGTGCAGTGAATGCATCGCAAGTAAGAATTGCGAATATCACAGTTACTGATTTACCGGCACTACGATTTCTCTTGAAGAAAAATGCCATGATTATTTTCCTATTTTTATTTTCTATCTATTTAATATGTCGAAATAATACTCACACATGTTTTAGAGAGAATAAGACTCTATGAGAGTATTCGAAATGTAAATGTATCTTTTATTAATATTTCATACATATTTACAAAAATGCAACTATATTTTCAAAACTCTTTTTTTCATTAATTTATTTCTAATTAATATAAAATATTAATTAATAATTATAACGCGATATTTTCAATATACGAATTATATATCAGTTTGTTCGTTTTTTACATTTTGCATCTCAAAATTTATATTTTAAATATATTAATATTTAAGAATATAATTTATTTGCATTTAAAATTTGTTTTACGAGCTTTTTGTAAAATTATTTCTCGATTTCAAAATAATATAAATTCTTTTAATATACCTCTGATAATATATTTTTTCATGAAAATATAATATCTCCTCGAAATCATTTTACAGTTATTTTTATACACGAATAACAGTTATACGTCATGTATATTATTATCATACAAGTTTATAAATGTTCATTTCTTGATACTAAGTTACGTTTTATTTAACGATTTTAAATCGTGAGATCATTTCATCTTTGTTGTTCACCAAAAGCTAAATAAAGGCAGATAATTCTCATAAGCTTTTCGATCACCTAATGGAATGTAGTCTTAAGGGGATATTAAAATTAATGTATGCAAAAATACAAGATATTGGTACAGTAAAATATGCGGAGGTTTTAGAAAGTATAGTTTATTTTCGATGAATTCAGAGATTCAAAAGTATCGCTTTCTATCTGAATTATATATATATATCTCTCTCTCTGTGCCTAATCTTGATTAAATAATTATCCGCCCACTTTCATGAAAATAAAATTAGCTTTTTCTACACTTGGAGACATTCCAATAACGATTCGGAGACATTTCCGCATAAAGATTGTGGCATTATATCATACTGTTGTGTTACGCGTATTACACTCACCATGCATAGAAGCGCTTTTCTATTTTACTGCGCTAAATTTACATGCAAATTTCACATGCATTCTTTGTCTAAATACGAGAGCATCACGCAAATAATGCGTTTCGAACCGATATAACCAACTTTCCTTGAACGAAAAATTTGTATTGCATGCAATTCTTTTTTTATTAACTATCATATAATTATACAATACAATTAGTTTTGTATATGAATTACCGTATAAAGAATAAAATACGAGCGTATATTTTTTCTATTTTTAGAAATATTCTGCAAAAAAAACACAAATTTAAGTACAATATATATTTTATATATCTTATTTATATGTATTATAAATAAATAAATTTAAATGTATGTAGTAAAAATAGATATATTTCTTTTAAATTCGAGTGACTTCTACTATTTCCGCGATAATAAAATAGATAATACAGTAATTAGAATTTCAATTGTGCGACAAATATTAGTTTAGATGAAAATAATATTTCAGGAGAATTAAATAATTTTTATTGTATAGTTTACAAATGGCTACGTTAAGACAATACACGAGGGAATTATTACGACGATTCATCAAGTTTGAGATGAAGAGCGACAGAGCGACATTAGATACGTTGGCCGCGGATATCGGGGAACAAGATTTATTGTCACCTCGCCTATACTCGGACATTCCAGGACCTAAGCCGATCCCTTTGTTGGGTAACACCTGGCGCTTTCTACCTTACCTAGGTATAATTGAGTAATTTCTCCAAAGCAAATTAGTAAGCATTTCTGGCTGTTTATTATACTTCTTCTTGACTTTACGATCTATTCACCTTCTTAATCTCTCTTATTTTGACTGTGAGTTTTATTTCTTTTTATATAACTACATATTTAGTTAGCAAAGAGACGAAACCATTTTTTAGTTTACATTTTAATTAACTGATTTGCTCTTATTTTAGCACATCCGACTGATGATCAGATCTGCAAATATTTCTTTTGCGTAGCATTGGCGAAATCGATAGCTCCAATGAGTCTCTATAAATATGATTGCTTCCGCATAATGAATATATTTTAATTAGCAAATATTTTAATTGGAAATTCGAAGTGTATAAACAATAAAAATCAAATATTATAAAGCTCTTATGTGTATTTCATATAGACAAACACATTCATTATTTGTATAATAATTACATAATTTCGAGAAAAAAGATTCTACGAAAAGAAAGTAATTTTTCTATATTTATTAATTAAGTTTGCACAAGCTAGTGATCTATGGTAAAACATTTGTTGCTTGCAATTAATATTAATATGTTGTTAAGATTTTTAAAATAAAAAGTATAGAACCAAAATAATGAAATTAATACTCTTAAATCACAAAATTTAATTAAAAAATTATTTTATAGGAAACTTCGATATACAGGCAGTAGACAAATTGTCAAAGACATTGCGCGAGCAGTATGGAGACATCGTGAAGATAGAAGGGCTCTTGGGCAGACCGGATATGGTATTTGTATACGATGCGAATGAAATCGAGCGCATCTTCCGGCGGGAAGAAAAAATGCCTCATCGACCTTCCATGCCATCGCTCGATTACTACAAACATGTATTGCGAAAAGATTTCTTTCAGGACAACCCCGGTGTCATTGCCGTGTAAGCCATATTAGATTTCAATTCTGTACTTGACATCATTATATTCTAATGCTCGAGGAGAGACACTCGAAGTTTTCTATTCAACGGGTGGACAAATAATAGTCATATCATTATGCTATTTTGATTTTAATTCTTCTTTTTTTTTTCTACATGTTGCAGCCACGGTGACAGCTGGTATAATTTTCGGAGCAAGGTACAGCAAGTGATGCTGCAGCCGCGGACCGCGAAGATGTATATCGGCGCGATCGAGGAAGCGAGTGCGGCATTTCTTCGCAGGTTCGTCAATTTTGTTGCTTCCACAAACAATATATAGAAGTCATTGTTCCTTTATACAGATGCCATTCTAGACAATGGTACTTTCTCAAGCCATCTTGCCTAACTCTCGCCGTTTATGCGGGCACACCTGTTTAATCATCTTCATGTCATCAGAAAGACATTTATCCCCTCTTTCTTTTTGTAGAATAGCGAGAATACGAGATAAGAAGCACGAGGTACCTAATGACTTTCTTAACGAATTGCACAAGTGGTCCTTAGAATGTAAGTATACGACGAGATAAACAAAGTTCCAAGAATTTTGCATGATTCTCGTAAAAATATTGAGTTGTTCAAAGAATCTGTATATGAAAAGATTTTTCTTTCGCCGAAGAATCTGGAAAGAAAATGTGAAAATTTTCAGAAGATGGAATCTTTGGATTCTATAATAATTGTGATCAAGATCAAATTTAGTTAACTAAAAGATGTATCTGTATATATAAAATTTTTTTTGCCTTTCTTTAAAAAAATTGACACTAATCTTCAGATTAATATATTTTTATAACAAAGGTGAGCTTATATAAGATGTTTAATACACATATATAAATACGTGAACATAAATAAATGTAATAAATAATTTTGTTACTAGCAATTGCACGGGTCGCATTGGACGTGCGTTTAGGTTGCTTGGACGACGACGCGGACGCGGAAACACAGAGGCTCATAGACGCGTTGATCACTTTTTTCAAAAACGTGCCCGTGCTTGAATTAAAGATACCTTTTTGGAAAATTTTTAATACACCTACGTGGCACCAATATGTAAATGCTTTAGATACTATTGTGAGGTAAAAAATAATAATTGAGACATAAAATATTCTTTCTTTAAAGAAAATTCTTAATTATATATATTATTACATATATTGTATGTTTATTATTATTGTTTTACATGTATAAAATATATAGATTAATATAAATAACACAAAAAATACATATATTTATTTTTTATACTATTTATATAAATCATTTTGTTATATTTTAGTACAATATCGAAATATACATCTGCCGCTCTATCGAGAGCCAAAATCAATGTGGATTCGGACAAAGAACTATCTCTTTTGGAAAGAGTTCTAGCTCTCGAAGGCGATACAAAAGTAGCCTCTATTCTCGCTTTAGATTTGTTCTTGGTTGGCGTTGATACGGTAAATATTTTGGTTATTTTATAACTTTCTACATTCACACATATTAGTTTTCAAAGGATGAAATTATTTGTAGACCTCGACTACAGTAGCCTCGGTACTGTATCAATTAGCGTTACATCCAGAAAAACAGGTGTTAGCGTATGAAGAAATCTGTAAAACTCTCCCGCAAATAGACGCACCTCTCGAAGCGATAAATATAGATAATTTAAAATACTTAAGAGCGTGCATAAAAGAAACTTTAAGGTTCGTTGAGATTAATCAAATATGTATTTTTAAATCTATCGTTTCGCAATAAAATTAGAGGGAACTGCAACTCAACTTTCTTTAACCATAAGTATTATTATACATATATCATAATTTATGTTTTTTATTTTTAATTAGAATGTATCCAGTTGTCATAGGCAACGGACGAAGTACGACTTCGGATACTATAATTGGCGGCTACCACGTGCCGAAAGGAGTAAGATAAAAAAAATTATTTTTGATTTAAATCTACAGATGAGATCACTGCAATACGATTTTGTGTTAATGAGATAATACGAAAAAATCGAATATTAACTGTATATAATCAATATATACATATATAATCAAATTATTTGAGATTTTGAAGTTATTTAAGTTTTTAGCTACAAAATTAGAAGAATTTTGTAATCACAGGAGATTGTATAACAGGAGAAAACAGATACAAATATTTTGCGAATGTTAATTGTTCTTAGGTGCATGTGGTATTTCAACACTATGTCATTAGCAATCTGGAGAAGTACTTTCCCCGGTGTCACGAGTTTCTTCCGGAACGGTGGTTGCGCGAAGACGAAGTCCGTCACGGATTCGCGTCACTTCCTTTTGGTTATGGCAGACGAATGTGTCTTGGGCGACGATTTGCTGAGCTCGAAATAATTATAGTCATTAGCAAGGTGAGAAATGACCTCCGATTGTCGGAGATACGCCAAGTTGCCGCGACGCGGCATGGGATAGAAAAAAAAGGTTCCACGCGCTTTCACTAATTTAGGTCAACGGCTTACTTTCCTAGTATCGATCTATCGGTTTGGGAATATACATATATAGTATGCATTACAACTCAATAAAATTTTAATTTTATCGACAGACTCCCTGATAAATTTGAATTTTATATAATTAATGATGAATATTTGCATCACGAGTTAGTTAATTATTATTTCTGTCTATCAATTCCAAGCAGCGGAATTTTATTTTATTTTATCCTGTATAAATATTTTTTTAATATACTGCGCATAATTATTTTTTTATATTTATCGTGACACACAGTGTTACGCAGTTAATATGCCAATTACGTTTTGTCGCCTTAGAAAAATGAGAAGGAATTGCACAAATATGTAATTTTACAGAATAATTGTTGAGGTAATTTTTTTAACATTTTTATATTCTTGTGGCTGCCCCGCGATAACGAAACATTTTGTCTCGAGGACCTAATCTCTTGTTAATTTTTATTATTACATTATTAAAAAGAAATTTTTTTTCTCTCTTTGTTTCAGATTCTGCAATTTTATAAAGTAGAATATCACTATGAAAAATTGGAATATTATGTCAATCCGATGTATACGCCGAAAGGACCGTTGAAGCTGAGATTTATCGAGAGATAATTTTTGCGGGAAATAGAGATATTATATAATTAATGATTGCATATCATTAATGTTTAATTTCTAACTGCATTTTACGTGCAAATAGATAATTTCATACAAAATGTATTTTAATGTAATTCGATATTACCATGCATTTTTCGATAATAAATATAAATCTTAAAATTTACGATGGATATCATTGTATTTTATTGTAGTGTAATATGTATAATATAATGGAATTTTATGAATGTAATATGAGGTATAGTATTTATAGATTTTTATCAATATTCTCAATATTATCAATTCGAGATATTTTCTCTGTTCTAGCATTTTTGTTTTTGTTCTAAATCTATCTTACAATATCATGTCGCGAGATTTATAGAATATAAAAGCTATCTTTTTATTACTTTAAATCTGAGTTCTCCATCGGGCGCATACATGAAGGTGACCTTGTATTTTAGCGGCTCATGATGATACTCCAATTTGTATGATCTCAGGAGCTGTAAAAATAATATATCGTTATAATCATCGCTATTTTAAATTGTTAATACTCGATTTTATCTTAATTACGTAAAATTAAGCTTTTAAAACATAATTAATAAGTTACTATATAAACAAAATTTAAAAATTAAAAAGGTCAACTTCAAAAAAAAATAATTGAAAAAAGTTCATTATTTAATGATGAAATAAAAAACTGCATTAAACTTAGATCAGATGGCAGAATATATGCAGTGAAAATGTTTGAGCTGGAAAATAAGTTGCATTTTAATATAATCTTCTAAGAACACAAGACTAACAGGTTTTAAAATACTTCGCATTTATAAAATAAAAAAGCAAAGTAAAAGGATAAAACATGCTGCACCTTTGTTAGCAGAATTTGCATCTCGAGATCCGCGAATCGCCTGCCCAAGCACATTCGTGCTCCGTAACCGTATGGCAACGACGCAAACGGATGTAATTTCTCGTTATCGTCCTTGAACCATCTCGCAGGCTTGAACGTTTTCGAGTCTGTGACGTAATCTTCCATGTTACCGGTGACAAGTGTGGGAAACACAACTTGAATCTAAAATTATGGTTTATATATATCATAATGTCCATATATATATATATATATATACAAAATTATTTAAAACTCGAATAATTTTATTTTAATGCAAATGTAGAGTTTCGGTTTGCAGAGAATTATGTGTATTGTGCATGATAAAGTAGTGATAAGACGAATATTGGCTGTGGAACACGGCCTATCTTACATAGATGAGTGCGATAAAGAAATGTTAAAAAAAAGAAATATCACGTACTCCTTTTGGAATTTTGTAACCGCAAATAACAGTGTCTTTCTGCAACGTCCTGCCATTTCCGATAACGGTGGAGTACACCCTGCAACACGCGCGCTTTGAAATCTTTTTATTTCTCATTACTTTGTTATTTTTTAAAACAAAACTATATCATTATCATAGATGTGCGAAAAAAATTAAGTCAGTCATTTAGCAATTGAATTATTATCAAAGTGTGTTTATTAACGCCATTTAGTATTACCTAAATACCTCGCGAATGAAAGCTTTCATATAAATCGCTTGATCCAGATGGCTAGTTGTGAGAGAAACGGAAGGATCCGGCAGTATTTGCAGCAATTCCTGGTATATCTTCTCTTGCTCTTCCGGTCTAATCGCCAATTGATATAATATTGAACACACCGCCATTGATATCTGCAATTTATCAAATATAAGTGTGTGTAATATATTTTATTTAAATATTTAATATATATCTCTATATATGTATACATCTAATTTATAACAATTTATAATCAAAAGATATATGTTTATCTAAATATGTAATTATGTTGCATTTAATCTATAATAACTATCATCACTGTAGTTGTCATAATATGCATCGTATTTTATAATGTAATTACAATTTATAACATCACGTTACTTGCCGTGTCAATGCCGACTAATATCAGATCGAGAGCGAAGATGTAAGCCATCTTAGGGTCCGTCTCCTTAGCTAAAATTCGTTCTACCAGCGACAAATCGTTTTCATCTACGGTTTTCTTATTTTTAAGCCTGACTATCGCGGCGTCGATATACTTCATGCATATCCTAAAATAGAAAATACATTATATCATTGTCACAAAACTTACTATCATTCGTTAAAAGTAGCTGTAAATTAAATTAAATCGCAAGAAACTTTTTTTATAAATAACGCGCGGTAAATATGTTTTTATTTGATTTTAATTATCTCTTGCATAACTTTTTATTTCTTCCAAGACTCGTGCATGCCATTAATGATTTGACGAAGTGCCGAAAAGGATAGAAAAGAATCCGCTTTCACATATCTAAATTCTAAATAAAGAATTTGCTTCGCAAACATGAAAACGTCTTGGACAAATCCAACGCGATCGCGTGTGAAAAACTAATCCGAAAAACTTTAAAGAGATTGGTAATTCGCGTAATTTTCCAGAATGAATTTCTGGCAATTCTTTGTTTTTCATTAATCTATCTCTTATATAGGGATCTTCTTACTCGATGAAGTAATTCATATTGCGCACGTAACGGCTCCATAAGGGCGTCGGAACGTATCTCCAGTACGGAGCCTTAAGCTCGAGCGTGGCCACGTTTCTCAGCGCGAACTTGGCGGCATCGATTATTTTTTGCGGTTCAGAATCCGGAGACAATGCCTCGCCCAAACATCCAAGTCTGACGTCGAGTGCCACACGACCTATACCTGCGCAACAGATGTATAATTCATAGTACGTAGTGTCGAGTACCATCGTGAGCGTCTTGCACGTTCGGGAATGCGCTCTCGAGAAACTCGGGCTTTCCCCAGTAAGAAAGAGAAAGAGAGGCTTTTAGATAGATTATTTTTCTCGGTGATAGACTGGATACTCTCTCATGAATGCGAAACATGAGAAATCTAATCATCTCTTGTAGCTAAATATACATACATATCTTGAAAACGAATAGGAAAGTGAAAACATATAGTATCAAAATATCGTGCGTATGTAGAAAATTGCATATAGATAAAAAATGCAGCGCATAACTAAAAAATATGTAAATCTAATTTTACATATAATTTGAAGAGCTCATTATCAGTGCAAGACGTCTTATTATGCAAGATGTGCAATAAAATTGTAAGCAATCAATACTTTACGTAAGATGAGAACTAACATTCGAGAGCCCATTTATGTATTTCATTGTCGAAATCACCCGGCAGTTCGCCATCGTTTCCTTGAATCTGCTCGATTCTGCAACGCATCGGAGATATTGCGTACGATAGATAAAAAATATCATTCGTGTAATCGCCCATAAATATATCAATTTTACTCTCCACTCTCTCACCTTCTTATGAAATCCTTTGTAACTATTTCTATTGGTGTTATATATTTTTTAATAGTCTGCGGTTGGAGAACGGGTTTTTGGACGCGCGTACGAAACTCCTTCCATTGCTCGCCGTGTCTAATGAGAGAAATAATTAGCGTGCGATGAGTTTAAAATAAACAAGCAGAAATAGACTGCAAACGAAAATCTTTTATCGATATTTCATTGAGATATTACTGACATTTAAAAAAATTGAGGACAAGCTCTATTTCAAAGAATTTCGAAAGTGATATATCAAGATTTACTAATAGATTTAATGTGTATGTATATACATGTATACATATATACATATATACATTTAATAGCCGACTCTTGTTTGTCTTCATATTTTTAATTATCCTCTATTTTATTTTCATTTTTAGCTTTGACAATAAAAATTCGAAATGATCGAAATTATTAGTTTGTCATTGTCATTCTACCTACACACCAACGACGCCAGGCAGCTCGCCGAAAAAGTCCTTGCGCACGACGCTCTTATAGTGCACTAGACAGGGCATAGCGGGCCTGAAGGGCGTCGGACCTTCCTGCCGGTATACCTTCTCGATCTCATCGGCATCGTAAACAAAGAGCAAATCGGGACGACCAATCAGGCCGCTCAGCCGTACAATTTTGCCGTATTCGTCGTAGAACATTTGCGAGATCTTTGCGACATCCGAGATCTGATACTGGCCGATCAACGGCAGCAGCCGCCAAGCGTTGCCCAGAATAGGTATCGGCCGCGGGCCTGGCACTTCGTCGTACGGTTTGACGTTCGACGAGGACGTGATTGTCGTCTGGGATGACGACATATGAGGACACTCGGGCGCGATCGTACCGTTGCACAAATCTCTCCGAAGGACAATCTTCTGATGTGATGATTCACAGGGTTGAAATAGGCAACATCGCGTCCCGGAGATTCGTAAAGCTGGCTTTATTCTAAACAAAACCAATCGCTTGTTAATATCTTCCTTTAATTTCTCAAAAAGTATGATCTTTATCAAAATTAAATCGTGCAATGATTATCAAGATATCATCATAAAATGATATATATACTGAAGTATTGAAAAAAATATTTTAAAGATATTTTACAAAAGTTAATATCTTTTATTTTAATTTATATTGCGCTTTGAAAAGAGATATTTAAATATCTTGTGTATGTGTGTGTGATGCGAGAGAGAATCGAAAAAAAATATATATATATATATTTATCAGAGTGATTAATACGATCTAAAAATTTTGTAATTTAAATTGGTATAAGCTAATATCGATTAAATATTCTAGTCTCATACACAGATTTTATGATTCAGTTCGATAATTGAATATGCTAGTCTCGCATTCCAAGTTATTTTTTATTTTATCTCATTGTTTCTTTTGTATATTTTTACTTGATTCTTCCTGCAGAAAGAGAATATAGAAATTCAGGCAATTTATCTTGAATATTAACAGAAATGGGATTTGATTGAATTTAAAGTCATTCAATATCCAGAGATTTGAAATGCCACACATTAAAAGTTTGTTATTTTATCAAACAAAATCTTACTCATCTATTATTATGAATTATTTCTTGATAGATTTGGAGAGAAAATTGAAAATTTTTTAGAATTATATATATATATATAATTTAGAGTTATCTATTGGTCATATTAAAGTATCAGATCTGCGTGTGCGATTATCCTACGGCGTGAAACATAATTAACGTTAGAAAATTGTGGAAAGTCACTCTTCCGCGAAAGGCATTCTCTCTCGCGCATTGAAATAACTTTGCTCGAGAAAGGAAAATGATTTTTCAACTTCATTCTCTAGTATCAGCAATTTCCGCGGAATCTTACATTACGTTTTAATTACAGAAACAATATTATCGCAATTATATACGCGCAGTCAATTCCCGTATTCGTAATTTTATTTTATAAGCGTACCTCGTAACGCCGAAGGGTAGCATCGTCGAAATCCGCCTTTCACGAATAAGAATAAACACAAATGCAATTTGATCTGGAATTTTTGTCGTTCAGCGTAGCGTTTTTACACTCACATATACACTTTTTTTAGGGTGATAAAAGATAAAAAGGGATTGTCAATGCTAACGCGCCTGAAAGATGCACGGTTACTGAAAACGATGCGCGTTCCAAGCAAGGAAGAAGGTCGCCGGACGCGATCTACAGCGCGAATGCCCCCTTCCATTGATGAAATTGTCCCCTTCTTCCATAAACTGACCCGAATATTGGATAAACCTGGTTTAAAGCGCGATCCATTTTTGATTAGTCCTTTTTCATCTCTATTCCCTTTTACTTCTTTCTCATCGGAACAAAGTTGTTAAAGCTTAATAAAGGGAATTTTATCATCCCCTTTTGTATCACATTGTGTTCATCAATTCGGTCAATTTATACATTGACAATAAGTCTAAATATATAAAATATATAAGTCTAAAAATATAAAAAGTATTGAAAGTGTCTTACGAGAAATATAAAAACATCATAATTTTTGCAGAAACATACCTGTAATTAAAAATTTTGTTTCAAACAATTCTGTCAATTAAATTATGCACCAATTAAATGTAGTATTATCCGTAATAGTGCGTATGTGTAATAGTAATTCGGAAATACACGTGTGTGATTGCATCCTTAATCCAGCCATCTTATAATTGTAAAACCACAAGATTGGTCTTGAAAGTCTTATAATTACCTGTAATCAACAGATATCTCCAATCAATCTTTTGCAAAAAAAAAGGAAAACTATAATAACATCATCATAAGAGAAAAAAATTACTTTGTCAACGTTTAGAGATCTTACATATTAATTAAGATTGCATAAAGTTACATAATTAAGATATCTTACTTTTTTAACATTATATCATTCTTTTTAATAAAAATGTTTGAAAATAAGGATTTTAATAGTGTTAGCTTTTTTTTCTATTAATATTCCAATTTTTTCCAAATTGAGTTTTTTCACAAATTATAATAATAAATTGATTATAATTTTATTTTATAAAAAGTTATAATTCTTATTATTTTATCGTATTACCTGACTTAAATAAAATCAATCTCAATTTCGAAAATTATTTCGCCCGCGAGCAAACATAATTTTATCTTTAAATGTAGATGTATAGGAAAAAGAATAGATGTGTTTCTTCGAATAATACATTATTATTTTCACTAGAAAATTGTGATATAAATAAATCTTGATTTTTAAACAAATATATATTTATATTATAATCAATAAAACAATACAATATTTATCGCATACCATATTTAAGATCTCGTACACTCCACGGATTAAGATGTGAAATTAATTTTAAGAATTAAAAATTTCTAATTACGAGAGACATTGAGGGCTGGAGGGTAGAACGAGGATTGATGAAGAGTGAACATGAAGTTTGTTATGGGTGTGTTTGAAAAACTTACGTGGGGTAAAGTAGCGTTTAATCGACCAATCAGAACAAGAAGGGAGCAAAAATTTCTTTATCCTGATTGGTCAATTCAATGTAACTCTACGAGTAAGATTTCCGAACGTACGCTATCCGTGGCGATGATGCAAGTGAATACAGTCCTGTATTGTATTTTTGCATTCACAGCGATTCACAGATGATTGCGCGCGTTTTCAAGTAGTAGAAGATGCTGGACGATGTATCCCGATGCACCGGATCTTCCTTACGTTCTGTCGGAACGTGAGGAAATTAATTCGATTTTGTATAAACCGATCAACTCGACGCAACGAATAAAGGTACGGTGCTACGATGGGACGTTTTCTTTACGTTTAATGCGTCAGGATAATGCGAGATTAAATCTGAGATTATTATATAGTAGGCGTAGTATACAATGCATCTGTCAAACTGATGCCAGAAGTTTCGCCCGATTTACGCCAAAAATCTAATCCTCTTCCCAAGGGGGAACGATAAAAATAACTGTACAATATTATATTTTCAGTTTCAGTAATTTTTCTTTCTTGAATAAACCTACTTTAAAGATTTTATATATTTTTTTATATACATGCGAACAGAAATAAATACATTTATCTATCCTTTACACTGCGAAATTTATTGCTTATATATATTTTATTGTATACTTATATAGTATTATTACATAATTATAGTGATTGCAGAATTACTTTCCTTCAATAATACGAATAAAGTAAAATTGCCAAAATTCGTATTCTTTTCCCTATTTTTTACTTATTTTGTCAGTATCACATTATATTATTGATTAATACTATAGGTATATATGTAATACTAGTTTAAATTAATTACAGTACACATGCTTCAATGCTTCATCAAGTTATATTATATTGGGCTCGACCAGTGGTAGTGTTTACGTGTTCTCTAGAGAACCATGTTCATTTTTACAAATAATACCCTTATCGGTAAATAACAATTTGATTCTTAATTTTATTTATTGATCAAGATTTTATATTTTTTTTCTCTTTAATATATATATGTAGTAATTAAGAGTAATTGTAATTAAACGTCAATTATTAAAATGATAAGATTTTGTTAGTTGCAAATTTATCATTGTGCTGCAATATTAAGTATCGTACCAATAATTAATTCTTGTTCTTTACTAGGAAGGTGTGGTTTCGCGTGTAGCGATATCACCTGATGAAAAGGCTGTAGCATTAGCAACAACTCGTGGTACGGTCTGTGTAGTATCTCTGAAATCTACTCCTCAACTGATAGCTATATCTATGGAACATATGTACGAACAAATTACTTGTCTCTGTTGGAATAATAATAGCACCGATATATATGTAGGAGATGCAGCTGGCAGAGTTTCCGTCATGATATTATCTATATTTGGGGTAAGTTTATAATCCTCCATAATAAATCAAGTATATTAAAAGATTTATATTTCAATATATATAATTTAACATAATATATAATAAAATTATATTTAGGGCATACAACATATAATATGTATTTACAATATGTGATATAACTTGTATTATTGTAATAGCATATATTTAATTTTTATGTATTAAAATAATAAAATTAAAATGCAAATATATATATTTGAAATTTTTTATATATATTAATATCAATTAATACATTATATATTGTTTCTTTTTTTTAATAATTGTCAGGTCAATGGAATGTTTCAAACCCCGTCCTGCACACTGATGAACTTGGATTCTAGCATTGTGCAGTTGAACTTCTTCTCGCCTCTGCTCTTAGTCTCTACATTGACGCGATGTTACATCTGCGACACAGTTCAAGAGCAATATAAACAGATTGGCAACAAGCCGCGGAATGGCGAGTTTGGCGCGTGCTTTTACAAGGTGCACGAGAACACCGCCTTGAATCTGCAAAAGGAAGAGAGGAACCTCAATAATACTCGTGGCGCGTTCAACTTGATCTCCGATAACGACAGCAACATCCTGGGCGAGGAGAATCACGCGAAGATCTTTTGTGCTCGACCTAGCTCGAGATTGTGGGAAGTATCGGCTGATGGGATTGTCGCAAAAACACATCAGTTCAAAGAAGCTCTGGCCATTCCTCCAATAGCAATATTTCGATCAAATGGTACTCTAGAATCTAGTCAAAAGGAAGGGACAGAGTGCGAGTGGACGCCGCAATCCATCAACTTCTCGCATTTGCTCGTGATTGCGCGCAGATATTTATTTTCCTACACGAATAGCGGTGTGTATATTATTGATCCCATCAGCGCGACCGTGTTACTGTGGAACAACGAGTACACAAACATCGCCATGACCGCGGTCGTGGACGATCAAATCTACCTGATGACCTGTGATAACGAGTTTCATTGTTTAGCGTTATCATCGCTCGATAGCCTGATATTGCGGCTGCATCGTCACGAGCGATATAGCGAGTGTTTAAACGCGTGCTTTGTATATAAATCGCTATTATTAAAAGCCATCGATACTAAGGAAATCGTCGAGCTGTTTGAAGTGGAAGATCTGCCGCGAGTATCGCGAGACGAGGAAGCGCTAGCGTTGCTGCGGCCGTTAATAACGTTTTTGCAAGTCGGTAGTAAAAATAAACTATCTAAACTGGACTCCGGAATCGTAGTCGTGCATTCTGAGAACGACGGGTTCACGAATAGAAGAACGTATGGCTGTGAAACAATGTCCGCACTGCAGTCTCCCGAAACCTCCAGCGAAGATTCATCCGATATGCAAATAATATCCGGGAAGGATCGAGACAAAAATCTTGCACGAGAAGATACACTTGAAACGACTTCAGTGGATGTACTCGATTTAGACGAAAAAGCGTTGGGAAACGTCAAAGACGATAATCGCGAAGATCTTGATCCACAACAAAATGTAATGCACAGGGTGCAATCCGATTTGCAGCCGATCTACGATCTGGCAAACAGCGTCAGACCTAGCATATCGGAAAGAGAAATCGAGGAGATCATTTCAGAGACGGACAAGTTGATGAGAACTATTAAGGAATCCTATAAAAACTTGCCTGGGCTTCAGAGTTTCATTTATGAAATTACTCGCGCCGCCGAATTGCACTATTATAATACGTTCTTGGAAAACGCTTCCGTTCAATTGCTCGATTCCATCAGCAACGATTTAATTGTGCGACAATTCGTACGGGCCTTCATTCAGATTAATTCACCAGCCTACGCCAGATGTAGTTGCGGTTATCCCTATCCGATGGATAAGCCAGTAGAGCCGAAATTCCTGGCGATCGGCGAATCCTTAATCAAGAGATACGCGGACATTGATCTGCCGAAAGAATGTAGCAATATCTGCGACCAGGTACCTTACATGTGGCGCGAATACCTGGCCGTCCGCATCGAGCGCCATAATACGTTAGACGACGTATTGAGACAGTGCCTTCAGACAAGAGATAAAGTTGTGTTATCATTCCTTTTGCCGGCATTGAATGAGCAACAGTGGAATTGCGTCAGTATGTGCCTGAGCGAGATCGAGGAAGGCACTTGCCTGTTTTGCGCAATGCCCTTGACTGATAAACCCAATTACAATGTACTTATAGATTGGAGCGGTATCGCTGGGGAAATTATGAAGAGAAAGGGACCAGACGAGGCCATGGCATTCTTGATTAAGCTAGAAAGCATGATGCCGAATGTTAATTTCGACAGAAGGTATTAGGCAATTTCTAAATATTGAGAAACACTATATTTGTCTATATTATTAGCAGGGTGTGATCAAAAAGTAATCCGATCCTAATATCAGTATCTCAAATTTTTTTTATTAGTAATTAGAAAAGAATAACAAACGTTTTGCGTATTATATATATGTGAAAAATTATTTTACGATTTTATTGTTATCGATAAATGTTAATGTGTGTGCCATTTTTAATAATCTCCAGATGAATATAATATTTTTTTATTACTAATGGAACTCTTGTTTATCATTAACAATATTTGATTTAATAAGACTATTTTTTGTTTACCCGTCCTGTAAAAGAATATAATACGCAATAATATGTAAAATTTTTCACAGAGTGTTTTTGATCTAATTGTAATTTTTTAAAACAGTGTAAATATAATATGCAATATATATAAATAAAACACACAAAGACTTTAAATAGATTTTACATATTTAAGGCGGATACATGACTCAAATCATTTTAACATTGCTTTAAATATTTAATTGGAATAATATGCGTTTATGGTCAAAAGCACCCTGTACATATAAAAAATGTAAATTAATTTTAGCTAAACAATAGCTAAATATTAATATTATAACGTTTTATTATAGTATATTCCAGTCTATCATATTTACAAAAATACTGCATCACCGTGGTCTGAAGAAGTCGATCGATTTCAATAAAACTAATCAATTATCATCGGAATTCGGTACAATGTGCTCGTCACAGGTAAATCTCATTGCTCTATATCTATCACAAAAATAATAAAATCTAGACGAAAAGATGAAAATCTAAAAGACATCTAAGAATTATCTTGAAAGTTTAAACATCTTGTAAGCTTTTATATGATTTGGATATACAGAGTGAACCACATAATTCGATCTTTCATCCTGATTATCTTCCCTTAAAAATTTAAAAAAAAGTATTAATAAAAATGTGACTTATTTTATTTTCTACAGATGATTCTATGGATTTTTTAAATTAAATAATATTAAATGAAAAAAAAATTAAATTTATACAATAGTAAATAATTAATGGTCAAAGTTATGTGATACACTTTGTATTATATTTAAGCAGCTTAAGGAACTCACGGGAGAATGTGATCAAGAAATAATAAATTTTCATTGCCGCAGGTGCGCGATCAACTGGCGAAATCCCTCGAGAAAGATTTAAAGCGACCGATAAATAAAAACATGTTCGGAACGGGCGCTCATCATTGGGGTATGCGTCATCAAACTAAATCATCGACATGCCCGTGTTGCACATTATCTTTACAGACGCCGATTTTACTAGGTAATAACGGAATCGCGATCTTTCGTTGCGGTCACGCCTACCATGTAAATTGTATGATAGAGAGAAAGCTCACTAGATGTAATCTTCATTAGCAAATATTGTAAATACGAATCAAATAAAAAAAAAAGAGTTACACACGCATTGTACATGTCCCTTAAATTAAATTTCTCTTCATATACATATATATTCTTGAATTTATTATCTATCGCTTATATATTTATTAAAGTTCTCTTTCTCTCGCAAATATATACTTGGATTTATTATCTCAGTACATTCAATTATCACAGTTGGAAATTGAACAAACGAGTTTTCACAATCGAGTCTCTTAAATTAATTGTAAGAACAAAATCGCTATGATACAAATACTATTGTATTACCTCGATAGTGCGCATATCTTTTAAAATCACCGGATCTTACGTATTCGTTATTAAATTTTTTTTAATTGCAATAAGATAATGCTATTAATTACAATTGCAATGATTGATTATAGCTTCTCATGTACAGAGAGTTGTCAGATATGTATATGTGTACAGCATATAAAATAAAATTTCCTCGCGTGATTCCTGACGCCGCTTATGAAACTTTTGCGAGAAATTAGGGAAAGGACAAATGTGTACATCTATATACATTTACATTAATATTACATTATTTGTCTTATCACTTACCTTATTCGCGACGTTATTGAAATATTTATTATAATTACACGCATATAACGTGTAAATTTCGTATATTGATCTATTATACATATGAAAAGTTGGCAACTAATTTGTCGTGCTCAATACTTTGATTTTGTAAAGTATGTTGTTCTTTAGATAAGCAAAAACTTAAAATCTTAATCGTTCGTAGTTAATTAGATTTTAAGATAAATGATTAAATATCGACATACGTATGTATCCTTATATATGAAATAAATTTCGTATAAAAAATTACAAATCTGGACGACACTTTCATCACTATTTCTATAAATATATCGTGTATCCTAATGCAATAGCACCGGACACATTACTATTTTTAGATTTATTTTATATATGGAGTTATATTTTTAATATATATATAAAATTATCAACTTGAGAGAAAAAAATATTTACTAACGAGATTATTTCTTATATATCGGTATCACAGTTCAAATTGCAATAATATGCATAAATATTTCCTGTGACTTTCTATCACAGTATGACTAGAAAGTGTTCCTCTTTTATATAGTCTAACTTTGTACATACACTTCGTCTATAAAATCATTTTGTATATACTTATAAAAAAGCAGTAAAACGTTATTGCAGACATAAATATTGATAAAATATTTTTGGCTTATATATGTCCTCTCTAGTAATTCATCCTTAGATATAAGCTTCAATTGAAGCAATATATAATCTCAATTTTACGAGTTCTTGAATAAAATATCGATTATACGCTGAATCGTAGACCAATAAATATTTCATCTTCTTTCAATGGATATTATGAAAGTATCATAACTTACGCGAAATTTGCATTAAATTGCGCGTGTCTATTTTTGTATAATATCATGGAGAGAAATAAGAGATATAATTGATTACAATAAATCGCAAGATATTATAGAGATATCTCCACATTCTTCAAAAATTTTACAATACAATTTGGAAGCAGAAAGATTCTTTTCGAAATGTATAGTTGTCAGTTTTATATGCTTTCATATACTTGCTGAGAACCAAGATCGCGCAATGTTTAACATTTTTAATATTTTATAAATATCATCAATTGCCATTAAATCGAGCACTAATTACACCAATTATTTTTTTCATAAAATAAAGTACTGTCCTTTGAATAGTGATAGTAGAGAAAATGTAGACGTTGACAGATATATCATCGACACATTTTCTCTCAATATAATAATTTTGCCAATAAATAGTTATAACAAGATCGCGAATTATATAAAGAGGAAGCAGTTTGTAAGATAATCTTAACACGTTGCTCTCTCTGCTGTGTAGTTGTTTTGTTGATTTCAATAATTGCCAAATATTATTTCAACAATTTGTTGTGTGTACAACGAATTATGAAGAAAATGAAAAGATATTGTTGTGCGCAATCGTTAAAATTTTAACAATACACATACATAGTGGACAACGTGTTAATATAATTTTTGCAAAATAATCGCGAGAGTTGCGATTGTACATTAAATCGTTTACAAATAAATATACGTGTCGTTTCTCTTTTTCTTTTTAGAGATTATCATGAAAGAGACATTAAATGGAAGAGTCTATTTTTTTACGAAAAAAGTGCATGTCTGTTCATATTTTGTGTACGCACAAAATAATACGCTTAAAATTAAATATAACTATAAATATAGAGCTGCTTTCTCTGTGTTGCACTTACCCATTATTACGTCCATATACATATCTCTCCCAGGCAACCTTATTCTCTTTCTCTCTCTCTTTCTCTCAAATGAGAGCGACTACTATTACGCAAATAAAATGCTACGTGAAATCAAAAGTATGACAAATAATCGCAATCATGACTTATAATACGTCGGCGAAATGGTTGCGGTTTCTAATCTGCGAGTTGGTTGAACACCTCTCTTGAGGCGTGATCGTATAATGTGCATTTAGCACATACACACAAACAAAGTTTCTAGAGAGTAAAAACTGATAAATATGCATAGAAATAAATTATGCAGACGATTGAATTCGTGCGATCGTACACGAAATCACGCACAAAATATCAACATTAGAATTCTAAATTAATAAAGCTACCAATATAATTATTATAATACAGACTAGTATGAAACTATTTTATGGCAGCATAACGTACGATTCTAATATTGATATATATTGTGCGCGGTTTCTCAAAAGATATTTGTAAAACATTTACATCACATTTTATAATTATGTGATGCCTTTTTGCGGAGCAATAATGTATCATTAAAAAGTCGTCAAAATTTGCAATAATACTGCATATGAGAACAGCTTCTCGTATTCATATTAGTAAACGCTACGTGTTTCTCTCTTTCTTTCTCTCTCGTAAATTTAAATGTACAAAAATTCCATTGAAAAATCATCGCACTTCAAAATTCAATATCAGACTAGAACAACTAACAGCCATTCTCGGATAATTCAACTAGAAATATAGCAAATGTGTTCTACTTTAATGGCATTTAAATAGGATGCCAAATATTATCGCATATATAACAATATCAAACATATGAATAGAATTATATACGATCGCGCTTTGTGTAGCACAATCAATCTTCAGTTAAAAAATTTCTACGGTTCTTATTAAATACGTGTTAAGATTTGATGCGCAAATAATCACAAATTTTTTCGTAAATTCGAGAAAGATTTTACAATGGATTTTCGCAACATTCAAATGATATTGAATGTGCAATTTATCTCGAGCAGTTTCTTTAATTTTGTGATACTAGATATTAAAAAAATCTCGAGCTTAAAAATGCAATCAATGCATTGTAAAACTTAAGAATACATTAATTATATTATATTAACATTTAAAAGATTCATTCCTCATGTATGTGCGTCGGATTCTTCGACATAAATAAAATTAAAATATATTGGATGTGTAATTCATGCAGAAATAATTTTAAAGGAAAGAACCTTTTCTCAAGCGCTAATGGGTGGTAAATCATAATGTTAAAAACATATTATATCATCTTTAGCCACATATCGATTAATATAGAATTCCATCAGTGTTCTGATTATCCAGATTACATGATAAAGTAATTTACAATTTTTGTGTGTAATTTGTAACATAGAAGTCAGAAATACATTTACACACGCGACTTTTTGCTGTTGAAAATATGGTCTTATTTAACGCGTATATCTTTTAAAATTCACTTCTTCCATTCCTGAAAAGAGATAAATAATTTTATCCTTCTGAAAAATTACATTAAGACTAGTTGAGCATAAAAACTAAAAAGATACTATTCAAAAAGTGTTAACCTCAATTTACATAGATAAGAAAAACCACATGTATCCTACAAAAATATTTCATTGATAAATTACGTATAAAAGATAAACTTTGTCAAAAATTTTCGTTTGTGTTCTTCTGCTCTCTCTTACTTTTCGTAGAATTTACAAGCACTTTGGAATTATTTGTTAATCCAACAGAATTTTATTTGAAGCTTAAGTCTACCTATAGATTTGTAAAAAAGATGAATATTTAATATTTCATTCTTAAAAATGGAATGTGTACAGTGTTTGAACATAGAAAGAATATTAACAATTTGCATTTCAAAGTCATTTTGCAAAGAATCTTAATTTTTCTCTTTCAAATGATTGATGACTCTGTTATGCAAAATTTATTAATATATTGTTAGACAGACTTAACTCAATAAACTTACGTTTATAGTCAAATTGTTAATTCCACTAATTTATAGTAGAGTGAAATATATATAATGTAATCGCGTTCGATATGTCAATATCTCATGTGATACACACATCGCCGACTTACATAATTTTAAGTGAACAATTTGACTATTCCATGTACCAAATAATTTTGATTTTCTTAATGCTATTTGCAGTCATTAATATCAATGATATATAATAATCATTGACTATATACATATGTATACATATGTATATGTACTTTGAATACTGCATGAAAGTATATGTGATTATAACCAAAGCTTCATGCATTTTTTAACTTAGTCTTACAACTCATAACACAAAAAGTCAGGAAAGATTGTTGATTTTACATAGGAATAATTGCGTTATATATAATGCCTCGTGAGATAATTTTCCAAATATTCTCTATGAAATTTGTATGAATTTTTAATATCATCATATATGTTACATATTATTATTAATATGTAACTGTATATGAGAGAGAGATGCATATTATAAATTTTTACAAAATACATACTACGAGATAACAATTTGTACAGTCCATTCTCAGAAGCATGATATTTTAGCGCATTTATTTCTAATTTCTTATTATAAAGCGTTCTCCAACTTGTATTTTTTCGAAAAGCAGATCATATATAATTACTAAAGATTTATTTCACTTGTGGCGAAGATGGTTTCCTTTTTCATTATAAATTCTCAGATGAGCGTACAGCTTTTTTTTTAATACTGAATAAAAGATCTTGCAAGTTATATAGGCCGATCACACGCATCAGAGAATTAATACATATAATGATTCAGCTTTTCGAAAAACTCTCGGCCAATAAGAGCTCGGGAGCTTCGTAAAATCG